TCCAACATAACTTTGAATTTAAGGTGGCACCCAGTGATTAGAGTTTATACATGGAAATTCAAACTGTATTGAAATTTTCCACATCTAGAATCTAATTATTAGAGAATCGTCTGAAATTTGTCCCCCCTCCCCTTCACCACTGTGGTGGGCAAAGCAGCTGCCACTGCAATCCCCCCACACTCCCTGCAGCATGAAGTCTCCCACTCACTCCCCACCACTGTACACCTCCTCTCCCACTGCTGTATCTTACATTTAGCTATCTGAAATCACTCAGCAGCTACTTTTGCAAATGTTGGTCCCCGTGGTTTTTTTTATGGACTTTGGTATTATGCAAATTGTCCATTGTGCAGTCCAGCTGCAGTATTGGCAGTTCTCACAATTTCACTGCAACGCTTGTCAGAGTTGGTATATTACCTAGGGCTCCTGCTCCTGGAACCACATGATCATCTCATTTTCCTTCTAATACTCACGTGTGCAGAGAGAACTGGAAAGTGTGTCCTGAGTATATCTGAGAGATTTATTTACCATTTAAAAATTAAATGATAACTAAAAAGAATTCAAGGCGTATTATTTTTGAAAAGCTGTGTGGTTTTTAAGCCAATTACATAATTTTGGGGTCCCTGTCTGTGACTGGGATTAGCATCTCCGAAGTTAGGCCTCAGCACATGTCTGAACGCTCAGAGGAAATTTTAGACCAGCTTCATAGTCACCCCCACTTGCCTAGAGAGTGCTGGGGCCTGGCACAATGCAGGTGCAGGTCCAGAACCTGGGTGAGGGGCTAACCTCTTGCACAGCATTTGGACAAGTACGCAGATACCCGTTTGTGCTCAGCATGGTCACTCATGATGTCGGAGCCCAATGCAAAGACAACAGACACTAATGGAAAGACCCCCACCACTGGCTTCAGAGGCCTTTGGATTAAGTCCGTTATCCAGGTGGGTCAGAATCCTGCCCGGGGCAAGGGGTCATAGATTCATAGATTCATAGATTCATAGATTAAG